AACGGTCTGCCCTCTGTCAAGCTTTTTTTCTCATAATAAAACAGGAAGAGGCTGAGCCACCTAAGCTTATAGAACGACTTAGACCTCCTCGTTCAGAACCAAATAAACGGAAGAAACCCCAGAATAACCAAGGCAACCAAGACACCTGAACTTACAGAATGCACTTGGTCCCTGAAAAAGTCAATCACAATTAGCCCTCACAAGTCTGAGCAACCAGATCACCTATACTTATAGAATGATCTGATTCTCAATGCAAATCCACAGCACTAGGTCTCCCCAAACTTATGGGGACCCCCCCCAGCCTTGATAACCCAGTCAAACCTCACACAAAAACTGTTTCTCATCCTGCCCTTTCCCAGATGCAATCTCTCTTTACAATCTGCTTTCAGTCAAACAATAAAACCTACGTTACCGAACGTACACGTACGGGGCCTTTCCGTACGAAACGTACAGATAGTATTTGTACGGGAACCTGTACGCCCCCGTACGACCCGAACGAAAAAAAAAAAAAAAAAAAAACAGTCATCCCAAAAATCTGAAAAAACTATATATGATGTAACATCCCAAAACAAGCAACATTTGCCTGATCACCATCTGCAAATTTTTATTATAATTGGAGGAAAAAAATAAAAATAGTAAAAAAAAATTAAAAAGTCGTATGGGGTCTTGAGTACGAGTAGCGTACAAGAAATGAGTACAACTCGTACTCGTACGGGGGTGAGTACAAGTCGCAACGTAGAATAAAACTGAAACTGACTTTGCACAATCATTCCTTTACTTAGTCTGGATCGTGTCCTGAAAGTCAAACTGAAAGTCAAAATAGGGAGACAGGCAATATACTCAGTCAAACATAGTAATAAATACAAGTAGGGGCTATACTGGTTTTATAGAAGGAAAGTAATAGTTACCTTTCAATTCCCTACCTCTTGAACTACTCCTGAGTTCCGGCGGAGCTCCCACAATCGGTGGGCTGACTCCCCACAAAGTCTTGCTGCGGTCCTACGGGTTGCAACCCCGCCTGCCGCGCTCCTCTCAGAACAGGACTAGACTTAGAATAAGAAGGGCAGAAGGAGGAGATTTCATGCGCTCGAGATACGGGAGGGGGACTGTCTCAACTTGCAGGAGAGGGCCTTGAAACCTTCATACGCCTGAGGGCCCCGCAATGGCGGCCAAAACAAATGTTGAACAACTCGATCGACTGAAGTCAACTGTTGAACAGATCCTCCTGACGAACCCCAAGTCGCAGCAAAGACCATCTTCCAAATGAACCCATCTCCTTCCTCAATGAAACTCGGTCATTTTTCCTTCCCAACTATAGTGGCGTCCCTCCTCCTGACCAAAGTCACTTCTACTCAGTCTGCAAGGGTCATGTTCAAGCGCACTCCGCGAACTACCCATGTGCCCAGCAGCAAGTCTCATGGCAGCGCACAATACCAAATACAAAATGCCTCAGTCCCACACTCAAAGATATCCAGTGAGTTGTTTGGCAGCCCCAAAAGGTATTCACCAAGGGACTGCATAACAGTAAAAATCAGTCGGACTCAGCGTTGAACCCCATAGACCGCAATAGGAGCATGGGGACCAGCAAGAATGCCAATATCAAGCTGCCATCTATCGACGCCTTAACACTCTCCTCAGTGTTTCCAGCCTCAGCCCCCAGTCAAGTGCGTGTAACCACAGAAAACACGGTGCTAACCATCGGTCAGAAGGCATTTACTCCCGTAGCTAGGCGGGAAGGCCTAATGCTGTAACAGAAAGCACTTCGACAGCTGAGTCTCAACCCCTTTTTCCCTTTGTTGCCAGTGCCTCCCGCATCTCTCCCCGTTTCATTTTCAGGGTGTGTGACCGCCGCCAAAACCAAGTATGTGCTCTTATACCAACACTCTAATCCCATCTTCCTCTACTCGCTCACGCATGTGTACCTCCCTGCACACCTACGCTGCATATTTGCCCCCTTTTTATCTCGTCCTCCCTATCTCCACATCGTGCATCTGGCTTCACTAGCAGTCGGGTTCGTACAGGAGAACGCGCCTCTCTATTAAGTCTTCACTAGAGTGGTACGTCACGCACTTGCATCAGGTAAGTTTTCAACCCCCCCCCTCATGACTGGCCCCACGCTACCCCTATAGATAGCAGGGACAGAATCAGGGTGAATCTTCTGCCAGAATGCAGAGAGATTCACTGTGCCCCTGTGCAAAGGCTCCAGGGCGTCAACCACCCCACCTGGTAAGCCTCCTCTCTCTCTCTCTCTCTCTCTCTCTCTCTCTCTCTCTCTCTCTCTCTCTCTCTCTCTCTCTCTCTCTCTCTCTCTCGCTCTCTCTCTCTCTCCGAAGATCGTTAGAACGAGCCTAAATCGCTACGAATCTACCCCTATATCATGGTCCAATGCATTCAGTGCCTTGATCGTTTTACCTCGGCGCAACCTATTCGTCAGTTAACTCCTAACTTACTAACTGAGTACCCAAACTAACACGGCCATCGTATTCGCCCTACGTCGAAACCTCCTCCCACCCGATTCCGTTGAGGAACGGGCAAGATACAGACTTCTTACTCCCGTTTTTCCTCCTTCCCGACACTCTCCACCATATCTCCACGCAGCCACTCTTCCTCACACTGACTAATCTCCAAACTTTCTCCCTAATCCAACCACGAATTCGTGGTCGCCCTAGCCTAAAACCTCATTCTACCATCTCCCCTCGTCCGATTCCGTAAAGAATCGAGGGAGCTATCATCCTTCATCCTACCATCTTCTTCCTCGATTCATCGTTGCCATCTTCGACTATATCGCGCACCTCCTCTCCTAGTACCGCCTATTCTACTAACTTTTAGCAAGAACTAAATACGTTGTAGCGCTCGCGATGATCGAATATCCCCATATGGCTCTTTAGATCACTCGATTCCGATAAGAATCGAGTGAGATAAGAAAATTTTGCCCCGCCATTCCTATTTTCTTCCATCTCCACCCCGAATGCATCTGGCGCGAAATGCGTCCAGATTCTTTTATTGGTTTTCTTGCATTTGATGCTTTCGGCTCGTTATCTCTCCGCCTGCTCTTGCTCCCTGCGCCCCGCCGTATATTACTGATAGCCCGAACTCCCTGATGCTCCTTCGATTTTTCCTCCTGAAACCTCCCGAGGAAAACAACTACCTAATAGTTCGATCGGTCTTTTGCCCCTGCGCGCCGGTCCCACCAACAGTCAGCAGACCCGCACGACTTCCTTTGCGTTGTGCCGCCCCACAGACTTCCGCTGTGCCACTCCCCGGCCTCCGCTGTGCCACTCCCTGGCCCTAGCGTCGGGTCGCACTGCAGCCAGCCTCCCATGTGACTCTGTGCTCCGCCCGATGCCTAGAGATATGCAGTTAGTCCCCCCACCCGAACGGCACCACGCAGAGACTACTGGGACTCATGGGGGAGGGGACCGGAGGGGAGGAACAGTGGCTGGCCCCTCAAAGAAGCTCGGTCCTGATCTCATCGGCTGACCCCCGACCGGTATCACCCACCTGTTGCAGCAGGTATCGCACATGCTGTTGGGTGCAACTCCTACACATTCCCTCATTGGAGGCTTGAGCACGAATGTGGCTGCTACGGGGTTCCCTATAATGCTACCAGGAGTAACTCCCGGCGCAGTCACGAACACGGTTTGTGACCCCGCTTTAGTCAATCCTGCAAATACAACATGCCCCACGAGACCTTACCGCAATCTGTAGCGTGAGGCTTGGTGACGGGGGTCGCGGTGCAGACCTTGGTGGTAGTAACAAATATTCAAATAAGAGTTTTGGAGGCCGAAAATGGGGGCGGGTTCCGTGGAAGCGGTGGCTGCAGCCTGTACCGCTGCAGGCCTCTGCCTGGCGCCCCTCGTGTGCAAGCAAGCTCACTACCACGTGGGATCCCGCAAACATGCTCACATTCAAGTCCCTCACAACAGATCGTGGCCGACGGACGGTGCGCCTGCGGCAACCCCCGTTACTCGACTTCCTCTCGCGTCGTGGGCCAACCCAAACGACGTGCACCCAAAGTTCTCGACTGCCATGTCGGCCATCCGTACCCAGCAATACCGTATCGGGGCCAGACGAGTCGGCCCCGACGTCGGTCTCGGAACCGTCCATCGAGTCAAAGCAATAAAAATAAAACTAAGCGTTGGAATAAAATAAAAATACTTAAGAATAAATATAAACTCGTGGACCACCGCGCCCGATTGCCCGCCGTCGTCGACGTACCGCTCGCGCCGTTCATCTGGGCGGAACACAACTCTCACCCGCAAGTGCGCCGTTAACTCCAGACGAGGTCGTACTGGCGTGACTTGTGAGAAACACGCCAAATACCCTTGTAAGGGTGTTTGGTACGACAACGCGGCGATGCAGTTCACAAGAAAACGGAAAATGAGCGATAGGCCATACTTTCAGTATTTGTATTCCCACTTTTTTTTTCTTTTTTTTTGTTGGAATCGTCCCTTTCAATAGAACAATCAATCAGTCGGTGGTATGGAAGTTATTGACTGGTCGCTTTTTTTTTTTTTTTCCGTAAATGATTGATTGATTAGTATGGATTTTTCTCTATATAACAATCAATCAATCGTACCTTTGGAATCAATCAATCGTCCCTTTTAGTAGGTTTCCCTTTGGAATTGTCCCTTTCAATAGAACAATCAATCAGTCGGTGGTATGGAAGTTATTGACTGGTCGCTTTTTTTTTTTTTTTCCGTAAATGATTGATTGATTAGTATGGATTTTTCTCTATATAACAATCAATCAATCGTACCTTTGGAATCAATCAATCGTCCCTTTTAGTAGGTTTCCCTTTGGAATTGTCCCTTTCAATAGAACAATCAATCAATCGTTGATATTGATTTATGGACTGGTCACTTTTTTTTTTATTGATTGATTACTACAGATTTCCTTTTGAATAGAACATTCAATCAATCGTACTTTTGGAATCAACCAATCGACCATTTCAACAGCTTTCCCTTTGGAATCGTTCCTTTGAATACCACAATCAATCACTCAGTGATATTGATTTATTGACTGGTCGGTTTTTTTTTTTTTTTTTTTTTGTCCGTTCATGGATTGATCGATTAGTACGGACCCAACGCCCCCACACCCCCTCTCCAAACCCATCTCACGTTGCCTGTTGTTCCCTCTCAATAAAATACTTGGTGATTTCAATTCGTTCCTTTTTTTTTTTTTCCGCTCCAAACTCTGCAAAAACGTTTAAGGAAGTCGAGAACGACAAAAGCACATCACGCGAAAGTACATAACAAAAACGAAATATGTTGTCAATGAAGTTCAATTTGTCAAACGCAAATAAAACAAGTAAATCCACTCGCATGTCACAAATTTGAAACCCTATTGCAGAAAGCACACGCCGCATAGCTTCCTACAAAGGGACAGAATACATTGACATACAAATCACGTCTGTTTTAATTATACCGTCTTCCGCATAGGGAAAATTTGTGAAAATGCATGCCACATCATCTAACCATCAGCGTGCAATCATTGATGACTTTCGCTGGCAAACGAAAGGATTGACTTGCACGATTTCTAAAAGACAGTGGGTGACTCTAAGTACAGTCCACCCCTAAACTAGCGAAACACCTACCCGCCCCCCCCCCCCCCCCCCCCCCCCCCCCCCGAACACACCCTCAGAAGCCACCATCGTCATCGGTGGCATCATCCTGCGACACAGGGGTAGCAGGTTCATGCATACCTAGATCGATGAGGCGCTTGTTGCCGCTGACGTCCCTGTCAACAAGCAGATGCTCGTCAAATTCGATGCCAACCTTGATCAGCAAGTTGTGCAAAATACAAACGACGGTGAATTGCTGGGGCAGATTCTCCATGTTCGTCTTGTGGTGGCGCAGAAACAGCCGCCACATCCCCTTCAGTCTCCCAAATGCTCGTTCGACAACATTCCGTGATGACTTGTGACACGTGTCGAGATGCGCCTCGTCGGGAGGTTGCACTACTCTACCGTAAGGCACTACAAGCCAGGGCAAGGGTCCATAGGCATTGTCCGCGAGGATGTACCCCCTCGTTCGCACCCCGTATGACAGGTCCACCGCATCCGCCAAGAACAAAGTGCCAGCTTCTGCACGTCTGTACAGTGACGAATTGATCAAAACCCTAGCATCGTGGGCGCTGCCCGGATACCCCACGTGAACATCCAGCACACGCATGTCGAGGTCAACGACGACTTGAGCAATGACAGAGTATTGTTGCTTTCAATCGAAATAGTTCTCCACTGGCACATTCGCTGGTTTGTCGACGTACACGTGACTGCAGTCCATGCAACCAAAACTGTTTGGGAATCCTTTTGCTGCAAACGCTCGTGTAACCTGCAGCAACCGCCGACCTGTTGGCATCGCTATCTTGTCCGAATATGCAGACAAGATAGCGTTCGTCACGTCCCTCACCACCTTGATACCACTCGACCGCCCCATCCCAAATGACGACGTTGCACTCTCAAACGTCTCGCCGCTCGCCCACCTGTACAGAGCGAACGCCACCAGCTGCTCCGACAGCAATGGAGTGCGGTAATGGGTGAGGGACCGTTGAAGAAAAGGAGTGCAGGCGGCGACGATGTCGTAGAACGCCCCTCTCGTCATTCGTAGCTTCCCATGGAAATAGTCGTCTGTGGCGTCATCATCAATTATGAGATCTTGCCATGTTCCGTCGTTTCTCCTCTGGATCCACCATCGTGGCGTCTCCCTAGGAAGGACGACCGACACAATGGCATTCGCCATAAGGAACGACTCATCCCAAACTGTGGCAGACGAACTCGAATCCGCCATGGCGTGCGTGACGATGGTCTCCCTCACCCCGACTCTTCTCGCAAGACTGCGCCTCAATGCCGTTGTGTGCTGCAGATGTGTCGATAAGGTGAGCAACGCTGTAACCACCAGATGTTTCTCACGATGGGACAGTTCTCGACGATGTGGCGCAGAGTCGTCCACCGCCACACACAAAAATTCGATATCCTCCATGGACGAGGAGGCGGCGTAGTGTAAATTAATCAAGATTTCACGATTAGGGTGCACTTGAAACTCAAGAGTTCTCAAGTGGTGTGGAACGAGGCTCTTACTATGAATAACAGATGCATCTGGACAACATCTGCAGGAAGATACGCTCACGTTTCAGAGTGTATGTTTCCAGCAACTAGCTGAAATATATCGTTATGTTTTCCCCAAAGAAAGAAAAAAACATGTCTTATAATATAGCATAGGGCGGCGATAGCGGCGGTGGCGGCGCCCGATCGTCGGCTGGGGCTGTGTAGGTTGCAAAATCTGAGCAGGTGGACGCCGATCCTTTCTGGTGGCGCCTACCCTGCCAGGCACCATAGTTGTGTGAGAGCTATGGCGACAGTGCCCTGGCGTAGCCTAGCCCTTGAGTGGGTTAGGGAGTGTCTTTGCACTCTTACGCCAAGGCATCTTGGCAGCTCCGTACTTTACCTCCATACAAACCTTCATACCTAACAGGATCTCGAACACCAGAGGAACCGACCTCCCCTCAAGCCTTCTGCTGGAAAGGGGGTTTCACCATCCAAGGGCCGTGTGTTGTACTCTCATCACATGCCATCTTGACTGCCTCGGCTGACTCGATCACTAGGATAAGCACTGACATGGAAAGCGGAGCGGTGCATCTGGATGCAGTGGGATTGCGTGCGGCTACTGTGGTAGCGCTTCGGCAGATCCAAGGGTTTCAACAAGTCTCGTTTGACCTATCTTCATCACAATGGCAGTCTGAAAGGAGGGAATAAAGCGCCATGCGCGACGACACTAGCAGGAATGACGCGGTGATGTATCCAGATACGTTTTAACTTAGTAATTTTGTAAGTTTCCTTTTGCATATCTTGAGTACATGTAAGTATAGTTTAGGTTATATTTGGTAATTTAGCAGGTTATTTGCTCGGTTATCGAGTAGTGTGATTGCCTCAGAATGTTGAGTTACTCGAATGATACTGTTAGACCGTCTTCCTTACACCCTATGTGCATTTACTTCAAGTTCTGTTTGTAATCCCTTCCTTCTTACCTAATTTGATTTTTTTTTACTATAGTATCTAGGAATGGTTACATACTAGGTTGCTTTCAGATTCAACATATTATGAGTAAGTGCCAAGCAAGCAGATAGTCCATTATGGAGTACAACTAGTGTCACGACATATTTAAGTCTTCTATGCGAACTGCCTCTCGTCTCTTCGTGAGTGGGTTGCGTGTTGCTTGTCGTTGTTGAGACGGTTAGGTACGATTTGTCGGGCTCAAGTTTGTAGGGCTGCAGAGGCTGCCCTTAGTGTCTCGTTTTTAGAGACACGTATTGTTGAAGTATCTTAGGATTGAGGGAGAGGGATAATTGCCATATGCCATGTATGAGAATACATTTGTGATTTCTCTCCTTGTTTGTTTTAGGTATTTTTGCATTTTGATAAGACTGGTTTTCTTTGTAGTCATTATAAAATAGTTAGTACGAAGGAGCAGTGGGAACACGAATGGTCGGATGATATGAGAGACCCGGTGAAGAGCAAACTAGAGTTGTATCCATTGGGTGCGTGGTGGGAAACTCATCTTGGCAACAAAGACTCTTTACAATATTCTGGATGGTGATGATGAAAATGTATCCCTACAACTTATTTTTCTATCGACAACGACACTACAGGGGCAGTGTGAGTGTCATCGTCAGTGGTGGGAGCGTTAGTCAATTTTAGTCATTATAAGAGTAGTTAGCACGAGGGAGTAGTGGGAACATCAATGGTTGGACAAAACGAGAGACTCAGTGAAGAACAAACTGTATCCATTGGCTGCGTGGTGGGAAACCTGTCTAGGCAACAAAGGCTCTTTACAGTGTGATTGGACAGTGATGATGGGAGGGTAACCCTACAACTTTTTTGTCTTGCCCAACTCCTGATCTTTGAGCTTAAAGTATACGTTTTCCCCAAGACTCTCAATGTGTGGCCGTTTCTTGGTTGTTTTCAATTGTCTATTCTCTGTAGATAATATTCCTACCCCTAGTACTAATTTTTGTTACGATTAAATTTAGGGCGTACTTGGATTGAATTTTAGAATTCAATTGTATCTAAGAATCTAGTCTGCCTTTGGAAATAATTTAGGGTTAAATTGTAAAATTCCCGTGAATTGCCTTTTGCATTTTCGAGATTTGCAGTTTATAGCCCGTAGTTTTTTGCCAATAGTGTTTCGACCCTAGAAACATGCCGGCGTTTTCCTGTTCGTCTTTTGGAGATTCCTTAAATGGACACTGGACCCGGTTTCTAGGAGCCTAAGCTGAGTATTGGCCTCAACAGGTTTGTACCGGGTTTATATGTAGGGGTGTGTTCCCGGGCCCTGGGGAACGGTTTCACTAGCACCCGAGTCATGGCCTATTTGGACATGTGCGACACTGTAAGAAAAAAAAGAAAAATAATTTTAAAGACTTAAGAAAAGAAAAAAATGGCAACGTCACATTTCCCAAGATGGGAAAGAGGCCTAGTTTTGAAAGTGTTGCTGTCCCACTAACCCTCCCGTCTCCTTCCCCTGCTCTCCACCCAGCCAATGCCTAATCAGGACAGAGTGGTATGTGACTGTTGCAGTCTCCCGTACCATCGCGAGGGAGTCCTTTCGTGTGCATGAGGGGACTCCCTCCTCTGATGGTTCCCATATTGAACCGTGCATTTCGTATATTTTGAGAGAAAATCGAAGTACTGGATGGGGTTAACAATTGACCGGGAAAAAGAAGGGGGTCAAAAACATGCTCTTCGAGTACTCGATTTTTTTTCATCTTTTTTTTTTTTTTTTTTTTTTTGAGAGAGAGAAGTTGTCACATTATATTTCCAAGAATCAGATAATGGTCGAGGCCGGGGACCTCACAATTCTACCTGGAAACCACCAAGGTAACGAAAGCTGGAAACCGGGTCCGACGTCCCCTGACCAGTCTGTCTCTAAACAAAGGCTCCTAAAAAAATTGCCTTGAAACACAATTAAAAGGTGGTTGGTCCAAAACCAACTCGCCAATCCTTCAGCCTGAAATAGCCTAGGGTTCAAATCACTTTCCAACAGGAAAGATTCCCTCAACGATCAAAGCAAAACCTCACGAACCATATTCACTCTGTTATGACGTTCAGTGATGTTCACTCTATATTTGATCAGCAACGAGTCATGCCCCATTAGGAGTTCTCTCTCTCTCTCAGGCTCTCTCTCTCTCTCTCTCTCTCTCTCTCTCTCTCTCTCTCTCTCTCTCTCTCTCTCTCTCTCTCTC